TCATTTTTTTAAAGCTGTTAGTTACTTAGATATATGGTTTTTTTTTTGTTTTTCTACTTAGATATATGGTTGAATAAGCTTCGTCTTGTTTATGGACTATTGACTTTAAAGTCCAGTAACGACTTTCATCTAATTGAAGAGGGAGTAACGACTTTCATCTAATTCTTTAAGGAATTTTTTTCCAGATTGTCATGTTTTTTTTTTTTAAACTGAATTTTCATGTTTGTATATATTGTTCATGTTTTGGTGATCGTACGTAGAAAGTGGATGATTCGGATACTATTTTTCCTTCATTTCCCAACTAACTTACATATTTCATAATGAGTTTGTTAACTTGGTTTCCTCACCAATCTGAACTAAAAAGATCGTTAAAGCCAGCTTTTCCTTTTTCGCTTTCCAGTAATCTTAAACCGAGTAAAGCCCGTCACAGATGATATAAATCTTCTTATTTTCATCATTTGGATCTTTTCGTCTGCCTGATAATTCCCACTTCATTTCCTTTGCTTCTAGTGTAATGCAAGATTTTCTCTTTCAAGCTTATGATCTTACCATTCTTATTTGCGGTTATGCCATGTCCATCATGAACCAAAGTCTCAAGACCATTGTAATCACATTTTTGTAGATAAAGGACTGTTTATTGTACCATCTTTAGAGGTCGGTCAAATACTTAGTGCCGACAACCATTTGTATGTGGAGTCCTATGAGGCACATCTCCCCTTAATTGTAGAAGATGTCGTCTTCTACTTTTAGGGCCTGGTGTTTCTCTTAGGGCTTCACACACAAATGATTGTCATTGACTATGTGACCGCTAAAGATGGCTGCATGGACAATCATTTAGCTGCAAGTCTGGTTACAATGGGATATTATGAGACTTTGGTTTATACGAGACATGTTGGAATCATGAATAAGAACGACAAAGAAGAGAAACTTGAAAGCGAGAATCTTGCGTAATAAGCAAGTATACGGAAGGGAAAATGAAGTAAAAATGACCAGAAGACGACCGAGATGAGATCTGAATGATGACAAGATGAAGAAGTATATATGTATATGAGGGGTTTTTTACTTTTTACTCAGTTTCATATTACTGGCAAAGAAAATTTCGGTTTTGCTGAGTTTTAACTTTATGTTGGTTAGGACTTAGGAAATCAAGTCAACCTTCTTGTTGCAGAATCTGGAAATCAGTTGGGAGAGATGGAAGACTGATTTTGATGCATTGAAGGATTGAACGCTAAACGCCTGCATGGAGAACACAAGAGTATAAAAGAAAACAAATTAATTCAGACGCTGAAGGAAGATACTATTTGTCCGACTGAAACTATCGAGAAATCCCAAGTCTTGGTGGTTCTAACATAGATCATGGAAAATGAGCTTTTTTACTGGAAATTGAGAAGTTCAAACCTCAAAGGGATAGACTTTTGCAGAGAAAAAGATAAGAAATGTACCAAACGGCTGTAATCATCAAAAAAGACATTTAAACAGAGAGTCACAAGGACTTCATTAATGCAGAATAATAGTCATCACATTAGAGGAAAAAAGAGAGTAAATGTTCATGTCTCAACTCAAACCCTAAAAGTTTATATCTTGAAAGATAGGGCCCATCACTTTACAACAAAAGTTAATAATTTGAATGCAAATTTGGTATAAAATTTTCAATGGATAGTAATAAATCAAATAAGAATGAGATCAAATCATTCGTTCTTCTGTATTTCAGAGAGCATTCCACCTGATTATATAAAGGCAAGCTTGTAATATTTTTGTGTTAACCTCAAATTTAAAATCATGTATTCAATAACTTGTTCTCGTTCTCAATCAATTCGTTAAAATTGGTAGTTATTGACTTCTTGGTGAAAGTGACGAGATGGTAATTAAGACCCACTAAGCAAACCATCAAATGAAATCTCAAGACATTCTTCGCCACTCAAGTTTGTTTCATATTGCAAGAATATAGCATACATGATTATATAAAGAAAATATGTCTAGTTCAGTCTTTCTTTTGTATTATTATTTATATACGATAGAAACTATATATTTTAATACTCGATAAATTAATGAATTCTTTTGCTTCTAAGTTAAACGGGATAGTAACTATAAAAATCCTAAGTAACTTATTTTAACTGGTTTTTGCACACACACACACAAACCAAATTTACTTTTTACTCGGTTTCATATTACTGGCAAAGGAAATTTTGGTTTTGCTGAGTTTTAACTTTATGTTGGTTAGGAAATCAAGTCAACCTTCTTGTTGCAGAATCTGGAAATCAGTTGGAAGATGGATGATACGATAATCATATCCCTGAGTTCTAAGTGGTTTTGTTAGTTTTCCTTTTTAAATTAGGATTAATGTTTTGGTATTTTTACTTATTCAGTTTTGGTTTAGTTGGTTGTAAGAGGATCTTTAAAAGGATACTCAAAACATCAATAACAATGAATTCCAAGAATTAACCTTAATCTCAAAGAGAGTTTAGGGTTAAGAGCAAGATTTTTCTTTTAATCTCTTGTGTTCATCATGCTTATCTAGGTCCTACAACACGTTCTAGGTCCAGAACACAACAGTAGAAGGAAAACAATCAAGTCAATCGGTGAAGGAAGATAGTATTTGTCCGACTGAAACCATCGAGAAACCTCAAGGCTTGGTAGTTATAACGTAGATCATGTAAAATGAGTTTTTTTTTACTGGAAATTGAGAAGTTCAAACCTCAAAGGTATAGACTTTTGCAGAGAAAAAGATAAGAAATGTAGGAAACGGCTGTAATCATCAAAAAAGACATTTAAAACTGAGTGTCACAACTCACAAGGACTTCATTAATGCAGAATAATAGTCATCACATTAGAGAAAAAGAGGGTAAATGTTCATATTTTCAACTCAAAACCTAAAAATTTATATTTTGAAAGATCACTTTACAACAAAAGTTAATAATTTGAATGCAAATTTGGTATAAAAATTTCAATGGTTAGTATTAAACCAACGAGATAAGAAACAAAATCAAAGGTTGATCCAGAAAAATTCTTTAGGCACGAGCAGAGCCTCCCAACTTTCCCCGTTCGAAGCTAAGCTCGTGATAACGAAAACTATATCAATCAAATAAGAATGAGATCAAATCATTCGTTATTCCGTATTTCAGAGAAAATTCCACCTGATTATATAAAGGCATGCTTGTAATATTTTTGTGTTAATCTCAAATTTTAAATCATGTATTCAAAAACTTTTCTCGTTCTCAATCAATTCGTTAAAATTGGTAGTTCTTGACTTCTTGGTGAAAGTGACGAGATGGTAAGGCCCACTAAGCTAACAATCAAATGAAATCTCAATACATTCTTAGCCACTCAAGTTTGTTTCATACTAAGAGAATATAGCATCATGATTATATAAAGAAAATATGTATAATTCGTCTTTCTTTTGTATTATTGTTGTGATTTAGAGTTGAAAGAGAGAAAGAAGTGATTGAGGCAATATATCCTGTTTAGGGTTTCTTATCAACTCGTGTGTTAAGTGTTACAAACCCTAATAAATCTTATATATACACTTCAAAGAAAAAACCCGATAAACCTAGGTAGGGGGGCGAAGCCCGTACCCTCCTTCCCAACTCTGCCTAGTGAGCCGCCGGTCTTAGTGCCCCTAGAGCTGGCCCTTCTACCACTATGTAACTAATTATGAGTCACCTTAAATAACAATTCTAAACTATATAAATTATTACTCGATAAATTAATGAATTTTTTTGCTTCTAAGTTAAACAGGGTAGTAATTACAAAAATCCTAAGTAATTTATAAACTGGTTTTTGCGCGGGCACACACACAAACCTATTTTTAAACTGGTTAGGAAATGAGAAATAGCTTTATCTGCATACCTTTTTATTTTACGCGAATTTCGTTCGTATATACATCCGTTATAGTCAGGTGGGTCATGAATCACATCGATATTTTATTTGGATGTTATCAATGATGTGAATATGTATATATTTTTCTCCACAATTGTATAGTCTCAATATATTCAGCCATAGAAATTTGGTCGTCGGGACTAGACTACATAGTTCAATGGTCTAGGCAAACTGCAAATTTCAAAGTCAACTTAATATAATACTCTTGTGATCTTGTCCATTCATTATTAGTGTAACTAAAATGTCCGGAAAAAATCTAACTAATAAAAAGTCCAAAAACAGTAAGTTTGAAACGTCAAAGAATAAGACGGATGACGTAGACAAGTCTTTTGTTCTTGTGTAGTTGACTTATATACGGCAATGAAGTCTTTTGTTATTGTCCTAAATTCCTAATGTATGAGAAATAACATACATTAAAAAAAGTTTTAAAATAACTAAAAATAACATACATTAGGACGATACACGATGTGATGAGGATTAAACCTACTTCATATGTCTTATTCTTGCGTGTATTGGATTTTTGGGACTTATATAGATTGTTAATTCATATGGATTAGAACTGTTATATACATTGTAATAAAGAGTTAAAGTAATATATATTGTATATTCATACGAATCAGAAATGAATGATTTTAAACATCTGCGAGCTCTTCTAAGTAGATGAGAAATAAGTTATTTACGACCAATTTAATATCAAAATACTTCTAAAATTTAAATACCATTGGGCCGGCACAGAACATAAGCGACAGAAGCAAAATTAGGACATTCCAATTTTAAATAATTTTATTTTTATTTTTAAAAGAGACTTTTATTTATTCAAAAAAAGAAATTCAAACTTTTAATAACAATATCTATATGGGAGTATTAACTAAATGTATTATTAAATAATAATTAAATTTATTAGTAATAGTGTTTTAGAAAGAAAGAAAAAAACATCAGCAAATGATGAGGATACTTTCAAAACATCATGTATGAACTTGGATGATTTGTTTCTATAATTTTTTTTTTCCAGAGAAGGCGAGAACTTGAAAAGTTAAGAAGCCTATTAAAGAAACATAGTTATTGTTTTTTTTTTTTTTGGTCGAAGGAGGGGGCTAGCCCCCAATTTATTCAAACAACTAAAATTACAACTCAGTCAGGCCTGGACCTGAAACTCCAGCCAAATCCTCCAAAAGTAAAGGATTAACAACATCTGGAACAGAATCAAAAGCAGTAAAACCATAAGACAACGAAAACGCATAGTTCGCTAGTCCGTCCGCGAGGCGATTAGCTTCCCTATGCACATGCGAGATGCGGACTATCCAGTCCCTTGATATGAAGCCATGGCACAGCCGTACCAGGAATGACAGCGGATTTTCCTCACCTATCCTTGTCGTCAGAAAACGAACCACCACTTCAGAGTCCACTTCCAATTCCACACGTTGGGCTCTCTGCTCCCACGCGATCCACAGACCGTAATACACTCCCCAAAGCTCAGCCAGTGGCGCCGAGCAAATTCCAATATTCAGAGCAAAGCCGCAGCGCCAATGTCCTCTCTCGTCCCGGAGCACTCCACCTGCCGTTGCGAGCCCAGGGTTTCCCCGGGAAGCACCATCAGTGTTTACTTTCACCCAATTCGTCTGTGGACGCATCCACACCGTCCTCCTCTCAGCTCTAGATATCATTCCTGAAGCTCTGGTTGCTTGAGTAGCGTGCGCTAGTGTTACCTCCTTGGCTTGTTCCCGGACGAATTTCACTCTATCACGGCATCTCCCTGTACCATTGAACACATTGATGCACCTCCATTTCCAACTCCACCAAAGCGCCATAACAAACTGGGCGGCCCAGGTGGTTCCATCACTATCTCGAGTATTGCCAAGATTAGAGTATAGCCACTCAAGTAATGACTTAGCAAAGAATTCTTGTCTCTTCCGCACCGGCACTAGACGTAGCCACACACCTTCCATTGCAGGGCAATCGCGCAGAATATGGATTATTGTTTCATTTGCTCCCTTACAAACCTGACACATTCCAGATTCCGATAGATGTCGTCTCTGTCTTTCCACATTAGTCATTAGCACTTGGTGGACACTTAACCAAAGGAAAACTCTAACTCGCTCCGGTGCTACCACACTCCAAACTCGACGGAACAGAGCTCCCAAATTCTGTCGCGGCGTGGTGTCATTCGTGAGGAAGGAGTATGCTGAACTAACTGAGAATTGGCCGTCCGAGCTCTGTCCCCATGATAGTCTATCCTTCGAACCAGTAACATCATCCACAACCAAAGCCCTCAACATCAGAGCTGTCTCGGTGGTCACAAATGGTATAATTTGGTCGACTAACCACCCACTTCCATATCGCCAATAGTCACAGACCCGAAGATTCTCCACTCCGACCGGCAATGCCAACATGACAGTTTCTCTGAGAGGCTTATCAAGTAGCCATATGTCTTGCCAAAACCTTACCATTTTGCCATCACCGAGAACCCAGCTGACTCCCGGGATGACCACATCTCTGAGACCAATAGCAATACTCCTCCACGTAGACGACCACGTACCCTTGGTTACTATCCATCTCGGGTCATAAGTGTCTGTGACCTTGTATTTGCTCCGTAACACCTTAGCCCAGAGGCTTTCTGTATCATGCAACAACCTCCATCCCACTTTCCCAAGCAGAGCTCTATTCATATCTGCTGTCATCCGTATCCCTAGACCACCATCCTCCTTAGGCCTGCAGACTTTTTGCCAACTTAAAAGGTGTTGTTTCCTCTGTTCTGTGCTACTTCCCCAGAGGAACGACCGTGAGACCTTATCAAGCTTCCCAATTATCGATTTCGGTAAGGAGATGATACTCATGGTATGTATCGGGATTGTGGAGAGAACTCCTTTCGTCAGAGTTAGCCTTCCCGCGAAACTCAGGCATCTTCTCTTCCAACCTGCTAACCGAGAGGAGACCTTTTCTAAAATATCTCCAAAGGTGTCTTTGTTGATACGCTTCTGTAGAACCGGCAAACCCAAATATTTACCTAAGGCTCTCGTCGACTTGATACCACTCTCAAGGTTCATAGTTATTGTTTTATCACATATTGTTGACTATTTCGATATAGCCGTTTGTTCTAAGAAGTTTTTCAAAGTTGAAGTTGATCACAAGAAATATATGGATTGATATACTCCCTCCGTTTCGATTGAGATACATATGGCTGAAAAACTATTTATACAATTGAGAATTTTGTTTAAAATTGATTTCTTTAACGAAACTATAAAGCTTTTTGTGATTTTAGTAAAAAAAACTATGAAAAGACAGACATATTTTTTTTTTTTAGATTCACTTAACGCGTTCCAAGTTGTTGGACCGTTGCTAAAGTTCAGAATATAATATAGGCACTAAGATACAAGAGGAGATCGAGTCATAATCTCTTAATTCAAGTGTGGTAGAGAAAATAAATATTTTTATTTCTTTTTGGTGTTCTTCTCTTTGATTTTGTTGGTACTTTACTTTCTCTCTCTGTTCGGATCTATAAATACTCGACGAAGCAAAAGAAAGAGGGCAAACAAAGACATCTAAGAGAGAGAGACAGAGAAAAGATGGGAAAGATGCATTCTTCACAGTTAAACCTTGTGCTCGTTTTGGTTCTCCTCATTTGCCTACTCCCTTGTCTTACCCAATCGGCTCCATACTCAGCTACCGGTTAGTACTGTTTTAATTATCCAAAAGTATTACATATATACATATACACACACATACTTCTCGTGTTTTCTTTCTCCCAAAATTTTGTGTAATTTAAGTTAAGGTTTAAAGTTAATCAAAACCGGAGAAGCAGAGATTATAAATGAAAACTCACCTGAACAAGTTCTTGCAATACAAGCCAAACCGTATACACTTGTTCAAATAATTTTGAGCCCTGCGTTTAACTCATAGCAATAGATAATTCTATAAGATATCACTTTGAGCCCTGAATATATATCTCCTTAATAAATAAATATATAATTTTTAATTGTAGGGAGGAGACTGATGGGCAATTCCGGGATAGTAGCAGGCCCTTCAACAAGTGGTCAAGCGCCAAGGAAAAATAATAGTTATCACGGTAGTGATCGTATTATTATCTCCCTGTTTTTCTTTTTTCTTTTTTACACAAATTATTAACTTTTATATTCGAATGTTCCTGAACACTAATTACATAACTCTCCTAAAACTATTTTGCTGCATTTGTACACTAAATGGAGTTTATATAATTATGAAATGTATGTAGGGAGAAGACTGATGAGCAATGGGATAGTAGCAGGCCCTTCAACAAGTTCTCAAGGACCAAGGAAAAATAATAGTTATCACGGTAGTGATCGTATTATTATCTTCCTGTTTTTTTTTTTTTTCTCTTTTTTTTATACAAATTATTAACTTTTCTATTCGAATGTTCCTTAACGTAAACCAATTTTCGTCTATAAATATTTTGCTGCATTTGTTCACTAAATTGAATTTATATAATTATGAAATGTATGTAGGGAGGAGATTGATGAGCACATATTTTCCAAATGCGGGCATAAGAGCAGGACCTTCGACAAGTGGACAGGGTGGTGGTCGCATTCCCGTCGCTTCCCCATAGTACTTCAATTCCAATATAATGAAGCTTTTATTAGGCTTTGAACAATATAATGGTTATATGAATGTAACTTTTATTTTCTGTAGTCATAAGTAAAGTTTCACTTTGTGTAAGTCTATGTTGGTATAATGTTCCGGTGTTTTGTTTTTCAATAAGATTTTATAAACTACTCATCGCATCCATATTTCTCATGTCCATCTACATTTGGGTCTGATTTACAACTTCGGTCTTGATTAACTGAAGATAGCTTTCATATATTGATTATGGAGTGAATTATACAGACTTGTAGAGCAAACAAACACATATTCACATCACATATATAAAATCTTGCTTCTTCTAGTAGACATCTTTTTGATAGCCAGATTCCTAGAATTCTCCTCCAAGATCATCGCAGGCCTCTGCGAAGAAAACTCTGTTTCCAAGTTCAAAACACACAATCAGAAATCAAAAACGCAAGCTAAGTATCTAAGGTAACGAAATGAAAGTGTTTAAAAAATTGTGGACTTTACGTTTTGGGGTTGTTATACTCTTGGTATTCTCGGTCTACTGGCTCAGGAGACACAGAGACGTGGGACTGGCTTTGTGTCGAGCTTGACTTCAGGGTAACTGTCAGCATAACAGACGTATCCGGTATCCCAGACGTATCCGCTGATTGTTTCACATGCTTCAGCTGGGAAAACACTGAGCATAGAGTGTTACTGAGTCAGTCGATAACGTATACGCATGACATGACTATTTTGAATGCATAAATGATCGTCTGTTGTGCCGTCTTTAGCAGTCACATAGTCAATACTGACAATCAGATGTGTGTGAAGCCCGACGAGGAGCATCTCCCCCCAAATGTAGAAGATGTCAATAACTCCGATTCCATGACCTAAACCGATTGTCTTCTTTAAATCATCCATAATCCCTAAATTCTTGCAGTTAGTTAAAGAGGTTGTAATGACGCCCTTTACAATATAGTTTCCATAACCGTCTTTTTAGTATACGTTACGGAAACTTGACTACTTGAAAGGCGTGCTTAATTACAACATCAATAGTCTATTAACTAACTGCAAGAAGTTGGGAGTTCCGACTAATTTAAAGAAGATAATTTATTGGTCAGGTTCTACAATCGAAGTAACCGACAACTTTTTACTTTTAGGGTGAAATGTGCCTCGTCAAAACTTTACACTTAAATGGCGTCGACATTGAGTATTTGATCTCTAAAGAATGCACGTCAGAAGATCGTTAGCTACAGCCTACAAGTGTTACAACATTGAAACCTTACGATGGCAAAGTATAGGATACTAAGACTTTAGCAAAAAAAAGAATGGTAAGCTTATGATTATAATCTTGAAAGAGAGAATCATGCGTACTTTATGAAGAAAGAAAGAAAAAAGATTTTTATGTAGGATGACGAGGACTCGGTTTTAGATACTATATGAAAGAATAGTAGTAATTCTGAATCATCCAAGTTTCTATGATCACCAAAACATACAAGATATACAAACATGAAAAACTCAACCTTTTTACTTTATCCGTACAGGACTGCACATAAACAAGAGTACAAGACGAATGCTTATTCAACCATATAATATAATAGCTTCAAACATATATACACTTGAATATAAATATAACTTTAACACGCAGAAAAGTATTAAAAAAAAACATAAGAGCATAAATCATATCACCACACACTTTTCAAAATTCGAATAAGAGAAATGAGATATAAGACTTTTTTTTTTAAACAGCAAGTAGAGAAAAAAAAAAAAGGAACGGTTGATTTTGATTTCTAAGTGTGAAGAAGAATGAAAGACGATAGCCTCTATTTATAGCATTTTGGAAACAGTCCAACATTTTTTCTGAGAGATTTTCTACCGTTGGATAAAACTCTTTTTAATATTATCCGTCCACGTTTCCAGGTAAGTTTTAAAAGCATGTAGATTTTGTTTCTTATCTGGTGGATTTGATACTATCCTTTGATTTTTTTATACCAAATTTGCATTTAAATTATCAAGAATAAGCATAAATTTAGCATTTTCCTCTTTTCAGTGAATCATATCATACCTATCACGTAATGAACTTTTTAAAATGATTTTTGAATGGTTTTAACTTTTAATACATTGAATGTATATTGTCAACAAATTTGACAGTCTGTTACTGTTTTGACTATGTGAGCACGTAGCATCTCAAAGTCAATAGTTCGAGTCTGATATTAGATAGTCTACTAAATGTATTAAGTCTAAACTTGTATCTATATATATATATTTGGTCTGAAAAAGATTATTGGTCAAAAGCTTAAAACTTTTTTGTCACAAATTAAACTACTAAGAACAATATGTTCTTTATCAATCATAATTTTTTTTTAATCATCTAGAATTTATTATGAAAATTTAAAAAAATTTATACAAAACCAAACATCTTAAAAAAAGAGAAACAAAGTCAGCAAAAAATAGATATTCCCAAAAGCAAAATCGACGGAAAAACTGCTTGGGGGCTTTGGGTCTGATTTACACTTCAGGTCTTGATTAAGTGAAGATAGCTTTCATAGTCAAGGAGTGAATTATAGAGACTTGTAGAGAAACAAACACACAAAAAATCTTGCTTCTTCTAGTAGACATCTTTATGATATATAGTCAGATTCGTAGAATTCTCCTCCAAGATCATCGCAGGCCTCGATCTGTGCGGAGAACTCTGTTTCCAAGTTTAAAAGACACAATCAGAAATAAAAAGAACGCAAGCTAAGAATCTAAGGTAACGAAAGGAAAGGGTTTCAGAAATTGTGAACTTTACGTTTTGGGGTTGTTGTACTCTAGGTATTCTCGGTCTACCGGCTCTGGAGACACATGACCAGTGGCGAATCTAGTAAGGAGGATACGGTGTCAAGTGACACCGTATAATCGGTATAAAATTGTTAAATGTACATGAAATACACAAAAAATACTCTATCAAACATGGTAAAAGTAGCCTATTGACACCTCATAACCTGTGTTCGATTCCCATTGAACCCACTTAATTTTTTTTCTACATTCGCCACTACACATGACGTGGGACTGGCTTTGTGTCGAACTTGACATCAGGGTAAATGTCACCATAACAGACGTATTCCAGACGTATCTGCTGATTGTTTCACATGCTTCAGCTGGGAAAACACAGAGCATAGAGATGTTACTGAGTCAGTCGATAACGTATATGCATGACATGGCTATTTTGAATGCATAAATGATCGTCTGTTGTGCCGTCTTTAGCATTCACATAGTCAACACTGACAATCAGATGTGTGCGAAGCCCGACGAGGAGCATCTCCCCCCAAATGTAGAGGATGTCAATAACTCCGGTTCCATGACCTAAACCGATTGTCTTCTTTAAATTATCCCTAAACCCTAGATTCTTGCAGTTAGTTAAAGAGGTTGTAAGGACGCCTTTTACAATATAGTTTCCATAACCGTCTTTTTAGTATGGTATAGGTTATGGAAACTTGACTACGTGAAAGGCGTGCTTAATTACAACATCAATAGTCTATTAACTAACAGCAAGAAGTTGGGAGTTACGACTACTTTAAAAGAAAGATAATTTATTGGTCAGGTTCTAAATCCGAAGCAACCGAAATCCTTTTACTTCTAGGGTGAGATGTGCCTCGTCAAAACTTTACACATATATGGCGTCGACATTGAGTATTTGATCTCTAAAGAATGTACATCATAAGATCTTTAGCTACAAGCCTACAAGTGTAATAACATTGAAACCTTATGATGGCAAAATATAGGATAGTGAGACTTTAAAGCTTATGATTAGAAGCTTGAAAGAGAGAATCATGCATACTATATGAAGAAAGAAAGAAAAAAGATTTATCTGTAGGATGAAGAGTACTCGGTTTTAGATACTATACGAAAGAATAGTAGTAATTCTGAATCATCCAAGTTTCTATGATCACCAAAACGTACAAGATATACAAACATGACCATTTTTTTTAAAGAGATGAAAACCTTTTCTCCATCTTCAATTGAAAACTCAACGTTTTTACTTTATCCGTATAGGACTGCACTTTGAAAGCAATAGTCCATAAACAAGAGTACAAGACGAATGCTTATTCAACCATATTCCATATAATTAATGCTTATAGGTTATAGCTTCAAACATATATGCACTTGAATATTATAAATATAAACATAGAGAATAAATCATATCAACACACACCTTTCGAAATTCGAATAAGAGAATGAGATTCAAGACTTCTCAAAAAAAAAATATATATATATCATCAAGAAGAGAGAAAAATAAAAAGGAACGATAGGTTTTGATTTCTGAGTGTGAAGAAGAATGGAAGACGGATAGCCTCCATTTATAGCATTTTGGAAACAGTGCAGCAATTTTTCAGAGAGATCTACTACCGTTGGATCAAGCTCTTCTAATATTATCCGTCCACGTTCTCAGCTAAGTTTTAAAAGCATGTAGATTTTGTTTAGATTTTGTTTAGATTTTGTTTCTTATCTGGTTGATTTGATACTATCCTTTGATTTATCTTATACCAAATTTGCATTCAAATTATCAAGAATAAGCATAGATTTAACATTTTCCTCTTTTCAGTGAATCATATCATACCTATCATGTAATCAACTTCTTAAAATTATTTTTTAATGGTTTGAATACATTGAATGTATATTGTCCACACAAAAAAAAAAAAAAAAAAAAAAAAAGAATACACTGAATGTAAGAAAATAAGTTCAGTCAAAATCTGTTGGACTGAATTTGACAGTCTGTTACTGTTTTTCACTGTGAACACGTAGCATCTCAAAGTCACTAGTTCGAGATTGATATTATTAGAGAGTTAACTAAATTTATCGAAGTATAGTTGTATCTCGAGATATATCTGGTCTGAAAAAGTTCATTGGTCAAACGCTTAAAACTTTTAGTCTCAAATAAAACTACTAAGAACAATATGTTATTTATCAATCATCATTTTTTAATGATCACAGATCATCTCCTGATATGGCCATATATAGAGACCCTAGCTTTCCATATGAACGACAAAATATAATGAAGTTACGTCATAAGAAAAAACTGAGAAAAGTCTGATTATGGTACAACATATAAGAGAATTACGATCTTATATGAAAATGCTTAGATGTAATAACAATCAGTCAATCTCTTCAAAAAATATAAGCCGGAAATGTACCACGGAAAACAGTAGAATAAATTGTGGTACTTAGATACAGTAGAAACTCTATAAATTAATACTCGATAAATTAATAAACACGATAAATTAATAAATTTCTCCGGTCCCGAGTTGGGCCGGTGTAAAATATGACACAATTCGATAAGATAATAAGATAATATTTTTTTTTTAAACTCCTATATAAAATATGGTCCCAACAATATCATAAATTAATAATTATCATATAAAAAATTATATATACATATATATAACTAAGATATATAGTTATTAAATTTGAAGCTCTCATACACCAAACATATATGGAAATTAAAAGAAAAAGGGAACTTTAAAAAAATATGGCAAGTATGAAAACATTTAAATAATAAAACAAATATAGAAACATCAAATAAAAAAGTTAAAAAAATATATGTATAAAGAAAAGTTTTTATTTATTTTGAATAAAACTTTAAAAGATTATCATTGGTGGACTCTTCATTGGTTGTTGGTTTCATGAAGACAAGGATTTGTGACACTCATCCGTTGTCGTTCCTGGTACACTTGTGCCATAGCTTTTTATTAAAGGACTGGGAAGTCTGCATCATTCATGTGTATAGGGAGGCTAATCGTCTTGCAGATGGATTGGCAAACTATGCATTTTCCTTAGCGCCAGGTTTATATATCTTTGATTCTGTTCCTTCAGACTTATTACCTATTTTGTATGATGACGAGCGTGGAGACTCGAGTTCGCGGCGAGTTCATGTGTAAACTTTTTCTTTTTTAATATATTAGGGAGCTAGCTCCTGAGGTTTCATCAAAAAAAAATTATTGATTTTTTTTTTTGAATTTTTTTTAAATGAAAATCTATATATTAATAACTGTATAAATTAATAATATATTAAAGTTCCGACATTATTAATTTATAGAGTTTCTACTGTATATCGAAACATGTTCTAATCGAGTCCAGTAGATAACCCATGCACATCAGTTTGAATGTAAGGACGCCTTTTACAATATAGTTTCCATAACCGCCTTTTTAGTTAAATAAATTTTAACTAAAATATTACTCTGTTACTCTTGACAGTAAGACTCAGTCAAAGATTGCTAATACTTGGGTAGCAAGAAACCAACGTTGTTAGATTCTTGGGAATAAAGCCATAAGGAGAGAGAGTAGAATGAAGATGTTTTGTTCTGTGTTTAGAATTTGTTCTTGATTGTGGCAAGCTAAGTAATGAATTTCATTTTCAGGGAACAAGAGGACATGTTATCAGCAAGGAAATATGCGTCCAAAGCAATTGAAGCTGATCCAGATGATATCCCTTTAAAATATGAATATGCAGAACTCGGCCTAATTGCTGGGAAATATAAAGAAGCTGCTGAAACCTTTGAGCAAATATTTCGTCTGTGTTAGCCTAATGAATATATCATCTTATTAATATCCAATCTTTAAAGGTTGTTGCTCAATGTCTTCTTTTTTTCTTTTTGGCCTAATGAAGATAGCTTTCATATATAAATTAAAGAGTGTTTAATTTATAGAGACTTGTAGAGATACAAACACAAGTTCACATGACATCAAATCTTGCTTTGTCTAGTTGTCATCTTTTTGATAGTCAGGTTCGCAGAATTCTCCTCCAAGATCATCGCAGGCTTCTGAACGGAAAACTCTGTTTCCAAGTCCAAAACACACAATCAGAAATCGGAAACGCAAGCAGAGAATCTAAGGTAACGAAAGGAAAGGGTTTCAGAATTTGTGAACTCTTACGTTTTGGGGTTGTTATACTCTTGGTATTCTCGGTCTACTGGCTCTGGAGTAACGGGACGTGGGACTGGCTTTGTGTCGAGCTTGACTTCAGGGTAAATGTCAGCAGAACAGGCGTATCCGCTGATTGTTTCACATGCTTCCGCTGGGAAAACACTGAGCATAGAGATGTTATTGAGTCAGTCGGTAACAGAGAAGAATGAAAAGTGAAGGACTTACGAAAGGAGAGAGTTGTAATCAACGGTGAGAGAATCAGAGGTTGAAGGAGATGATGAGTTCGGTCTGAGAGATGAGTGTCTCGAAGCTTTGGTGCTAGTTATGGTGTGAGGAAGAAGAAGAGTGAGCTTTGGAGAAGGAAGAGGAAGAAGAATTGTTGGTTTGATGCACAAAGCTCCCTGCATATTTTTGTTTTGTTTATGTTAATCTTTTTCTTTCTTTCTTGTTGATCTCTTAGAGAACTAAGAAGATTGGTTTAGTGATATTTGGTTGTATTTTTCAGAAGATCATGCTATATTTATAGCCAGATAAGATCACTGCCTTTTGTTCTCCTTTTTATCAAAACTTTTTTTTTTCATATTTTGCCGACCAAGAAATTAGTTAATTAGTTCTATTGACTCAATAATTCAGAATCCAACGGTCCAAACTTGATTCCTCTTCTTTATCCATGTGAAAGAAGATGAAAGTTTGAACAAAAAACAGGAGAGATATTTTGTAAAAGGATAAGGTCAGGCTTTGTTGTAACTTGTGAGTATGAAAATCACTGGTGACTTATCCTCTGCTCTTGGAAGATATTTTCTCCAATCTTTTTGGATCTTTCTGTCTTCTCTGAGTCAGCACAGAAACATAATTGAGTCTTGCATTCATTATCAGTTACATATGGGTTCCGAAAAAGAAAAGACAAAATGCCAAAGCTTTTGAAGTTTTACTTACTCACCACACTCTCTGGTTTTTCTTTATTCAGTTTTCATCACAGAAGCAAATCTTATTATACATACAAACAAACCCTTCAGTAGCGGCGTACACTGGTTGTCGATAGAAGCACACGGCTCGATTTCTTCCCTTTCTTTCCAGGCTCTTTGATGGTCACCGGTGCGCTTGGTGTCCTTGAGGTTACACTTGCAAAAGATGTTACGTTTGTGTTTCTTGCACCTGAAAACATGTTTAAAGGGCATCAGAGAATCGTAAGAGAATGTGCAGAGCTATAACAGAGGTTACCTGTGGTTGCGTTTGTGACTTCACTGCTGCTGCTTTGAACGCTTGTTGGTTCTTTATTCAGGTTGGGTGAGTCATGGCCAGCTGCAAAACCGAGCCTTGTCACATGTGAGAAGGAACTTCTCTCTCCGATGTTTGGAGGGCTTGATGATGTTGGTGCAGAGTTTCCTAGTGCTAAAGAGGGACAAAAGAACAAAAGCTTTCTGATTATTAGACAACTAAACCTCGAAGCCAAGTAAGAGAACGAGAGATTCAATTTATTACCTTCGAAGTCATCCAAAGAAAATGGAGGAAAGTTGTCATGAGAGGACTGTCCAAAACTGGCCATCATCAACGGTGCAAGCTCTGCGGCTGCAGCTACCTCAGCTTTGATTTTATCTTTTCGATCCTAAGAAAAAGCACAACATTTGAATTCAGGGAGAGTAAGAAACAAACTATGATCATTTGCTGTCCTTAATCAAGTTAAATACAAACAAAAGGAAACAAGCAAAACCTAGAGGAGGTTGGAATGAGAAGAAATGTTTGAAAATGGGGCAGTGTGAGTTGTGTGACCATGGTTAAAAAGAGGAATACCTTCTTAGCACGTTCTTTCCTCTGCTTCTCACGCTTCTTGATTTCATCCATAAATGGAGCAAACGCATCAGAAGGCAGTGATTCCCTCATATCAATCTCACATATCTGAAAGATTCACAAAAAGATAATAATCACCATAGAGAAAATGTTTGATATAGCGACAAGGGCAGAAGATAGGAGCAAACCCAAGGGAAAACGTACCTGAAATGTAGTTGTTAAAGAAAAATGACTCAAGAAGCGGTAGCGTCTCCTTATCGCTTCTGACTGTGTTACGGTCTCCATTTCCAATATCTTTCCACTCACTCTGCCGTTTCATGAATTGAAAATGAAATCAGAACTCTATGAAAACCACAAATTACAGATGATAACTTTTTCTGCTGAATAATTTTACTCGAATTCGTTCTGAGTCTTAATTTTCATACTAAGTAAAAGTTCAGACTTTAAATCATCGGTTCTTGATTTTCATTAACTAAAGGTGCAATGCATCACTTTTGAGTCAGCATCTCCAAATCAATGCCAGAAATGATTAAGCAATGAAGAAGCTTCCATTGAATTGACATAAAAGAATTCTGAAGCATGCTGATGCATAAAAAGAATCGGACTCTTACCTTGGTGGAAGCAAGTCATAGCTGCCATAGTGATGCAGAAGGCATTTTACATTCAAAGAGTGAATGATAATGTGCTGCCCATCAACGGACTACATATGATTAGAGCACAAAAGGTAAGAGAAACATTGAGTGTGTTTAGAATTAAAACAAACCAAGATCATTATTCTTTTGTCAACAGAACCACAAATATTACTGATAACACATAAGTAAAACAATCATCATGCAGCTGTTTAACTTTTAAGTATCCATCAGAAACAGGTTACCTGATAAAAGTTGTAAGCATCATTGTCATTCAGGTCTTTGGTATCATTTTGGTACAACAGGGGCCCTTTACTTCCATTGCGCGAGGAAGAAGACGGAGCTTCCTGGTCTTCTAGAGGATGACCAGTATCACAACTCTTTTCCAAACTAGAATGAGATTCCTCATCTGACTTATCCACAGAAGAATCATCAATCGATTTATCTTGATCGTTGGAGCTGCTAGTCGTTGCTCCATTCGCCCAGCTGGCTGCTTGATAACCAGCTCGAGAAACATCAGGAGGTGAGGATGATGGTATCTGACTTCTAGGCGCTGTGCTTGATTTGCTGTAGTTATTATAGAGCCTGTGCTCGTTCCAGTACATTTTCCTCTGCTCCAAACGCTCCAAAGCAGCGTTCACATATAAATGCTTCTCCAAGTCCTCGACGAGCCCCGGATCTGCTCTTGCAACCCAACCGTCTAGCTCAGAAACCGCTTGTCTGACAGAGAGATCAACATCCTGAGTGAAAGTGAACTTCGAGAACGGATCATACGCTTCATTTCCACCATCAGGAACAACAGCCGAGTCATTCTCATTCCTGCGTGTTGGAGCAAAAGAGTCTTTCTTGCGAGTCAAGAGCACAAACTCAATCGCATCTCCAACAGAGTACTGCTTAACGTTCTCAATATAAACAGTGTACAGCTCTCTCGGAGAAATCATCACAAAGCACAACGGACACCTCTTGGTGCAATCCTCCTTGTGGTTATCCACACCAATCAGCAAGTACTGTAGAATACAAGGGAAACAGAATATATGCCCACAGGAGGTTATCTGCGGACAGAGAGGATACTCCAAGCAAATAGGGCACTGCACAGAAGACGGAGTTGAGTACCTAACGCAGATTATATTCTCCCACTGCAGCAGTTTATCAGGATCCATAGAGTCAGGAGAGTGATCTCCAGTGTCCAACACAACAAACTTGTAATTCGCCTTGAGAAACAAGTCCTTGTTGTAAGGCCTCCTCTTGTACATTTGCCTTCTTTGAGGCGGAGGAGCACCTCTGTGTTGCGGAGGCGAAATCGGATCATACTGAAAGTTCAGCAAGTGGTTCCCACTGACCGTATTGGCTCTTCTTCCGGTTGGATTGTGATGGGAGGCGACTCTAGGGGAATTGGAGGGTCCGGTGGTAGTGTTGTGGTGGTGCACTTGAGAAGAGCCAGAAGCTCCGGTGTTTCTCCCTCTAGACCTGTTCCTTCGACCATCATATCGAGAATGGTCACGTTTATCTGAGCTAGGTGGGGAAAAACTCTCCTTCCCTGATCCGATTTGCGTCATCTGTCACATAGCAAAACAATAACCGATCTTTCTTTCATACAACCAATTGTTCAAAGCAGTCCACTGAGGAACATCAAAGTTTACCTCTTTGGAAGATCCACGGATGTGTCTCTCCTCAGCTGCAGCAATCGGTTCTACAGTTTAAGAAAACCGAAAAGTGAGGTATAATATTAAAAAGCTCTACAAGACCAAATCATAAGTCAACCAAATTCGAATATAATGAGACATAAAGTGAGAAGCTTTCAGCTAAAATTTCACCAAAAACGCTGAAAAGAATCAAATTTCAGTCGTGAATCCCGATAAGGAAAAGTAAAATGTAAAAACCCTAAGAAAGAGGGCTAATTGAGTTATCAATCGGCTTACCCCGAGAGCCGCCGGAGAAATCAGGATTGGGGAAAGAAGGTCCGGCGAGGCTGAGGGATCCAATTCCAGAGGAAGAGATCTCGGAAGGAGAGGTGGAAAGAGGAGAGACGGAAGAGGTGTTGCCATGCTCAGAGCTAGGGTTTAGAGACGAATCTATAGGAGAAGAAGAAGACGAATTGTGACCTTGGATATGCGGATGAGGCAAGATGGACATGAAAATTTTAGGGATGAGGAAATAAACTTCGCCGGCTCAGAGCCACCGCTTCTTATGTTCTCTGCACAAACAATTTGATTTTCTTTATCTCAAGGCCAAACACACATGTCGTCGTGTTCCTTTTCCTTTTTCTTGTAATACGGACATGAACCGACGCAGTCAGTTCTGCTCCGTGTACCCGACCCGTGTCCGAAAACCCGACAATTTTGATTCTTTTCTACACGGGTGGATATTCCGAATCTTTATGATGATACACATTACTGTAATACCCCCGGTTTGTATTTATGCATACAAGTAGTACTTTGATGTTTAAGTCTAAACCGGTAATAACGCAATCGCGGAGTCTGCACTCGTACTGCTAACGCAATGTTCACAGTTGCAAATAAAATTAGGAACCGAAAAAGAAAACTGAAATACCGACCACACTTGTTCCATTAAAGTCCAATGCTTATTTAAAACCCACACTGGACACATTTATTGATTTAATGAGCATTGAGCACTTAAAAATCTATGTTGTTGCTCTCATTTCACCAACCATTTCAATGTGAGCATCAAACTTGATCAAGAAGGTTCGGATTTCCATCGGAGCAAGCTCAACCACTAGCTCTTCCGCGTCCACAGCTTCTCCTCTCTTCACTTCCTCCCCGGCGGAGCCTTCTACTTTCCAGATTAGCCTTCTCTTCTCCATTTCCGCCTTCTCTTGGTTCCCTGAGAGACTTGTCTCTTTCACGTTTTGTATCTGTTCCAAACATATTAAAACAGAATAGCAGTTGTTTTTGTTAGGACACAGTGAAACAAATAAGAGATGCATTGTCTTTTTCTGCGTACCTTTTTGTTGTGGAATAATTTCTTCAGCTCTACTTTTGTCATAACCGAGTAGTCACTATCTTCCCCAACCTTCACAGATTAACAAGACAGTGACTCGAAAGAGAAGCAAAATGTAAGTAAATCACATTGCTATATTAACGGTGGAAACGTATATTAGAGAGCGAGTAAGAACCTCGAATAAGTGAGCAAGCCTAAGAAGAACTTCCCCAGTTTCCAACTCCTGAACATATTCAGAATTAAACAGATTGTGGTCAACTAATTAAACCGCTTTTGACATATTTACAGAACAGAATCCAACTAACCTGGAGGGTGAGTAATGCAACGTTCTTTGGTAATGAGTATGACGGTTCAAACGCTGAGAATGTCGTCTTATGTGAATTAATCCACTTATCTTCTTCCTACAAGCAAAATAGCTTAATCTCACTTCACTAATCTTAAGGAAGTTAGGAGAGAAAATATGTTTGTTTCAGAGCTACCTGTTCTGTGAATGCCAGAAGAAGTGGAGAATATATTTCTTGACCAAATGTTCGACGCCATCTTGCGCCATCTCCAGGTTTGTCTATCTGTACATAAAACTTCCCTCGTATCTGCAAAACAGCTCAAAGTAAAGCAACTGTTTTACGCTAACAAAGAGACAGTTTGGTCTCTGTTACATTTTCTATTTGAGGCTGATACTAAATTGAGATGAGAACTTAGGCTTACCGTTAATCCTTTGCATCCATCAGGGAGACAGACCGTTTCATTTAGAACCTCGCCAACACCTCTAATGTCATCATGAAGCATTCTCCTATACAAATGAAAAAAAAAAGAAGAAGGTAAAACACAAGCAAAACAACATATACGTGTCTTGGTTAAATCATATAGAGAAAGTTAGTGGACAGACCGATGAAGCATCAGCTCGATCTGGCCGTTGTCTAAGCTGGACCCGCCTACAGCGCGATCCACCAACACGGATAGCTCTGAGGTTTGATCTTGCATGTATATCCCGAGATTTATCTGGAAGACAAGAATACGTTAGACAAAATGCAGATATACTGCGGGTAATTCGAGTACAAATACTAAAAGACCTTAACATATCACGAGAAGGAATCTCAGATGGATTTGATGCCTTACAGGATAATAGTTGCCAGCAACTGGTTGGTACACTTGCAAATCCCAGTCTGTTCTGAAGTCCCGAATCTGCGAGTAAATATAACAAATTATGTTACAACATAAACAATACAACTTGGTACAAAAGTAAAGATAGATACTACACACGAAAAGTTTGCACATATACCCGTTTGATGAAGTCACGACCATTGGAGTCTGTGTAAAATGTTCCATTTGTCTTCATGGTGGTTGTAAGTTTAGTGATTACCTCCTTGCTAATACCATCATTACCTGGTATAGGCCCAACCTAAGAAGCAGGAAATAATAAAACTGAAATTGTCTTCATCAGTTTAAAAGGAAGATATGTGAAGATAAAGAGAAATCAGCTTACAGTGAACTCAATTTCAGCATGGTTTTTTCCCTTGTACACTCTGGTAATCTGCAAATTAACAGACTCGTCACAAGGTGAATCAAGCAGTAATAGCTTCTGTAATGTAATTAAAATGTTTGAGAACAAGAAATATTTGCAAGAAAAATGACCTGTGATATCCAGGAGTTAAACTCTTGGTGCACTTCATCAAATAAAGGTCCCCGAACAACAGTCAATTGAGCCTGAGTCAGGCAAGACAATTAGTTTTCTTTTGTATTTTCACATATGGTCAAGAAATAAGGTTATAGTTGAAGCTTATATCTATTACCTCTCCTTCGGATCTAATTGGACGTACACCATCAGGTCGAAACACGTAAGCTCCAGAAGCCTAATAAGTATATGAGAACGGTTTTAAACACGACACAAGAAGATAGCTAAGTAGATAAGGTTGCATCTGTTAGAGGGCTGAGCTACCTGTGGATCCTTGTCAGTCCCATTGCTTCCATTGTAGTACGCATATGATTGTTCTGCAGTAACCTTAAAGTTTACCCCAAAAAAATATCAGGCGATGTTTACATACTCAAATGGACAAGGAGGCAAGTTTAGGTTAAATAAAAGGCATACCTGATTAGTGGTACTTAAATGACGAGTCATTTTCATTCCCTCTTCCGAATAGAGTAGCTTTAGATTTCCTTGGCCAACTTCTACATTTTGATTCATGCTTCCAGAAGTAACATATGATGCAGATTGTCCACGTGCTTAAATCAAATAAGAAAACGAAGATGCAAGTAGAGCATCAGTGAGGGACCAATTGTCATGGCAAGTAGAGCCAAAACACATGAAGTTGTATTTCTAAATCATATCATTCATGTGTAAATTTTACCACACATTCTGGAACATAGCTAACCTGTTCGTCCAGTGTCAGAGATGACATACGAGTTGAACCCAAGAGGTGGTACTGAAGCTGTAAATGCAAGCACATGTTTTGCAGTATTCCTTGGTGATCTTCCTAGATACGCTTTGACAAACTCATTTCTTATTCTCAATGTGATGTCTGAAAGTGGTAGAAGCTGAGACACGACTTCTTTCCCAGATGAATCTTTCACGATAACATTTTCAGACGACACCTAAAAGAAATTTTCATGTACAGTTAGTAAATCCTGAAATGAGTGGGAGATAATATTGGATCATAAACAACAATAAAGTGAGAGCTGCACTGATCAGCCAAGGAGATTAAAAGATACATACAGGAACTCGGACAACTTCCTCTCGTTTCCATCCTAGAGAATTGTAAACAACAACCACCTACAAGGACAGATTAATGTTAACGTATGATAGAACAACTAATCAAGAGGTTCAAAACTTCATAGACTGAAAATAAGCCTTGTTTGACACACTTACCAGGCTTTTCCCGCTGGACAAGCGAGCTTCAGATGCAGGACAGTAACTGATATTAAGCAGGGGACACTGCCAATATGAAGCATAATACAAGAATCAGCTTAACACACTAAAATACAATATTCTCTCGAGCTTGAGTCATTAAAGTTTTGTGAAAATACTTTTCTAACACGGCCATAGAATCATTGGAATCCTAAGAAAATCTTAAACAAGCACATTACCTGCTGAAACTTTGTGCTGGGATTCTTCTCTTCAGTACTTGATTTTGCTGCTGATAAAAAGGAAAGAGAAGAGGCAACCAACTTCTCGGCCTAGTAATGATCATAGAGAAATTCATAAGCAGCTGCACCAACAAGAGAAAAAGGTTGCATGGAAAACACATAAGATGCCTAACTAAAAAGCACCTGCAGGTAACCCATTGAGAGTCTAAGAGCATAATCTGCAGCCACGTGCTGTCTTTGTGTACCACTAACTGCGTCATGGTGTTGAGCAATTGCCAAAGCATCGGCTAACATATCGGTTGTTGGTCCTGAACTACTCCTACCTCTCAAGAATTCCAATTGCCGAGCCGCCTGTTTGAAAACAGATGTGGCCATGTAAGAATGGGGAGCAAAAAGAAACTACAAATCAATGACTTAAGAAACATATCAGGCCGTACCAGATAGTAACCACTTAAATCCCTGACGTATTTCTTAAAGGCTGGCCTGCTCGTAAAGTATCCAGTCCAGTATGCATTAGGTTTGTCAGCATACCTGCCACAGACACATGCATCATTCATCTAATCAACACGCATTCGCATAATTGCATTTCTAGAAAGTAGAATCCCAGCTATCAAACTCACGGGAAGAAATCGTCAGTCTTTAGAGGCCAGGACTCGTTTGCAGCATGTTTTGCATCGGTGTAGATAGATGGTGTCGAATACAGAACATTGACACGCCCATCCTGGATTGTACAGGCAACAAGGGAATAAAGATTGGTATCACTAATGAAATCCAACTGATATGAATTTGCTAGAATAAAAAACACAGCGTACCTTGTTAACATAATGAATTAACTTGTCCATCTGTCTAAACCATGAATATGCATACTGGTAACGGAAGTCAGTTCCCATCAACCACATTATATGGTTTGTCCTCGTCACATTGACCTTGAAAAGAGAAATCCAAGTTAAAACAAGTCATAGCTAAATTTCTTGTATATTTTTGATGATCTCAAGAATAAGGGTATAAGAGCTTTACCTGAGCGAGGGCTGCAGCTACGAAGTCGTTGACTCGCTCTTTAACATTGTAGTCAAAAAGGAGAGGATCATCCTATTATATTCCAAGATGTTTCATCAGTGCACGTTCAAGCAAAGTTCAAACACAGGTTCGACTGCTTTTTACCTGGACTGGAGGTGATACTTCATTTATTTCAAATGTGAACCCTTCTGGAGGGTCATAATGTTTTGGGAATACACCGGTGAATATCTGCAAGTAACATCACTATAGCAGTGAGACAAAGCCAGCTAAAGAATAGAAACAACAGAGCTATAATGTGAGCTTTGATGGTTTTAACCTGTGAAGATGAGCCTAGGGACTTGGAACCTTGCCAAATAACCTCAAGTGTCTTCTCTCGTAACCTCTTCGCACGATCTTGATAATCAATTCTAGCGAAAAACAGCGAGTCAAAGCCTAACTGCAGAAGAAAACAAATGGTTATGTCCATTCAATATCTCTGTGAACCGAAAAAGGAACCAAACGAAGAACACATTATACCTCTGCACCAAGCAAGTAAGCTTGCACCGCAGAATGTCCAAAGGGATCGATTTGCCAACCGACTCTTGGAACCTGACCAAACTCTTTTTTGATAAACTGATGTCCGAGCGTTGTCTGATCAATCATGTCAATATAATGTGGAGTTGCCTCATCATGCATACACATTCCACCGTTTCTGCAAAACCACACATCAACACAACCAAAAAAAAAAAACACAAGATGCATACAAGAGACACAAAGAAGAAAACAAAAAGTGGTGTGATCAATCAATCAAACGCACATGAACTCCAATTGACCAGAGTCAACAAGCTTCTTGACCTTAACCTTCTTGGCTTTGCTTTGTTGCCTCCACCATCTTTCAAAAAATGCCTAAAAAAAATACTCAACCATTAACTAATTTCCATCAGGGAAGAACAAAAAAAAGAAAGAAAAGTCTCAGTTTTGGTGTATATCTGAGAAACTTACAATCTCAACATAAATGAACTTTCTATTTTCATCGTCCAGCAATGAAGCGATCACAGAGTCCAATACATTCTGAACACAAGCTCCCTGTTCGATCAAATTCATAACAAAAAATAATCCCTAAAAACAATTCGCAGAATCCGATTCGTCTTCTTCCATGGAAATAGAGTGAAAAGAGGTACCCTAATGGAGTTATTGGCGCCGACGTAGTACTGGTCAACGGTCTTAAGCCAGCCGACGTCGTCGTGAGAGTGAGGAACCAAGTGAACATTGATTTTCTCAGGGACGATTCTCGGTGTTGTGTTGTACTCTATGTACTCGGAGCGAACGCCGCCGATCACAATCGTCGCCAGAAACAGATAGAAGGAGATGAAACATTTGACCGCCATAGAAGAGGACTACAGAGAGAGAGACTGAGAGAGAGGAGGAGCGTGAAGATCAATGTGTTGACAAGTGTTTTTGTAGAGGACGAAGAAGAGAGACGCGCGTGGAGAACCAAAAGTGACATTGTTTACTCAGTAATCTAGTCACTATCATCACTCTTCTTCTTCTCATAATTTACTTTAACTTTTGTCTTAAGCTTATGGTATTAGTAGTTTAATGGAGATAGACTTATCCACTTCCTACCAATAAGAGACAATATCAAATTTTTAATTTCAATAACCTGTCAGATCACTGCTAAGTTGCTTGTTGGAGAAGTGATGAAATGGTCCATGGAGTTGTATTGATAACGAATTATTGCATTTTGCAAGCCAAACCGAATGATTGCCGATGATTTTTTTCCCAAAACAATTTGAAACATGAATTATTTAATTTTCAATAATCGAATTTAAGGTGAAATAGTACTAGAATGCAATACAAATTAGTAGTTAGGCTCAGCCCAACTCAAATCAATTAAAAGCCCATTATTGATTCAAACCTATTGGTCGGTCCAATGTTTACACTTTACACTATACAGTGCATGAAGTTGAATCATTTGTATTTCCTTATGACATAGGAAGATTCACAATTGAGTGACATATTTGAGATGTCACTAGTGTAATTGCATGAGTTTATACATAGGATAATGTTTTTATACAACCATATTAGAAAAAAAATTGCAACGAAGATCGAACTCAACTTGCTCAACCAATTGAAACTATGAACGTACATCGATTCATTTAGTATGAAGTATAAAAATGAGTCAATCTCTGTCATTTAATCTCATCCTTACACAGTTATAAACACATCTCCCCAAAAAAAGAAAGACAAAAATGGGAAGTGAAAATGAATGAACTTTTCATGATCTCTCAAAGAGACCTTTCACATAAACCATACCTTTCTCACTAAGCTGAAGCTCCTTCCTCATTTCTTCAACTTGTACATCATCTCCTTGAACCACAATCTCATCTAATCTCCTCCCTTTTCCTTCCACCATCATCTTCACCTTTATCTCCTCTTTCCTCGACGCCTTTTTCCAGTAATACGCTCCTCTGCAACATCCATCAATCAGACCATCACCATTATCATTTACAAACAGTTTAACAGAGAAAGAGCAAAGAGAGCTTACGCGAGTGGACTGAGAAGGGTAATGAAGAACCAGTTGTTTCCAACATCAGGCACTGTAATGGTTAGGACAAGACCCACACTTGCTAAGCTTATACATGTACAAAACGTAAGCAGAGCAGCTTGTCCTCTACTTGGAACCATCTTTCCTTCAAACCTTTAATTTTTCAAAAATCCAACAACAATGTCAGTAAATTAAACCGAAAAAACAATTTGAAAAAAATTCGAATTAATTTTTGAAATTAGCTTACGTGATTGTTTCTCCTCGATCAGTAATGTTGAAATTCTTCCTACTGAAGAATGAGAGAATCTCTCCAGCAACTTGCTTTGGTTCCTTCTTGATTCCTTCGCTAACTACAAACGTCTTTCTCACTATCTGAAACAATCAAATCCTCCACATTGAATTCGAGCTTAAGAAATTGAGAAAATGGAAAGTGAAGACTTTTGTAATTTCGAAAAGTTCGAACCTTTGATTTAACAGAGCGTTTGATGAGTGACCAAAGACCAGGAACTGAGATAACGAACAAACCCAAAGACGTGTAGTAGCTAGCCAACGAATAACCACCACCAGTCTCCGCCATTAACAGTAAAGACTCAGGATTTTGCTCCCACCATTGATGAATCTGAATCGCCGATGAAGAAACAGCGGAGAGAGGCTCCACAACCATGGCGGTGACGGCGGTGGCTCTGTTCCGCTTCGTTTCCCATTCCCGTCTCCGCCGTGGAAGAAGCCCTTTGATTACCACATCTCTTGAAGTCACCCATGGACAAGACAACGCCGGAGAAAACAGCTTCGTCGCCATTATCGAAAAGAGAAAGCTTTTTTCTACGGCTAAAAAAAAAAAGCTTAAGCCTTTACATGATCGTGTGTGTGTAAATGAGCCTATCCAAAATCGAGTGGTTCTCATTTTTTCTTAATTTGTTTTTTTCTTTCAAAAAGTTCAAAACTTTATTTATGACGTCGTTTGTTGCATTAGCATTAGCTCTGTTTCTATGAAAGAATCACAATCAGTTTCTGAGTTTCAACAGTAAATGTTACTCCTTTTTTCCTTTTTTAAGATAGATTTTCTAGATATTAGTTATTGTTTCACAAAGATAAATTTTTTACTTTTTTGATACACTTTTTCAGTTTTCAAGAAACAATGATTGTATTTGTTAGATTTTTATTGGTTGAAAATTATAAAAAATTGTTTTATTGCAGAAATCAATACACTAATGATTGAAAATCTGCTTTTCCTTAATGTGTGAAAATTATAGAAAATTTATAAAAAAAAAAACGGAGGGAGTATTTCTTTGTGTGGTCAAGATCTGTAAGGTAAAGATAAATGAGAGACCCCCACCATCATTTACGATTTCACCATTCTACAGAAGAGAAGTCATTATCATTAGATCTTTCCTCCCGACACAAAATCAGACACAAACATGATTTTGATATTTTTGCAATCTGTTCAAAAGACTGTTTATATAGTTCTGTGTGCCCACAAAGGTTTTAGCAAAACTAGGGACAGTTATCAATTAATAAATGAAGGGAAAAAAACAGAGCATTGAGTCAAATTTGCATTAAGTAACTGAGAAAGCAAGAATCTTTATTAGAGACAAAACTAAACAACAGAGTTGCTTGACAAATTTTCACTACCAATTGGAAATTTGGAACTCGAATCTTTGATCAAAATTTGTTGGACCAACTTCTCTTTGGCAATAAAGGCTATAAAGCATAGGTAGGCTGAAGCTAAAGGTCAATTTTTTTCCCCAAAATTGCTACTTTATAGGAAAAGTAACTCTGAATTATTTGGTCCAAACATAATAATAAGTAGAGTTCTTGAAACAGAGAGTTATCATCTTCTGCTTGTTCAACAGCTTGGAATCTTTTGATCAAGACCAACATTGTTTGGTCAAAACTTACCCAAAATTATTGGATTTGTAACAACAAACAAAAGAAATCACACAACATTCCACTCTTTGCTTCCTTTTATATCATCAATAAATAATGGTTTTTACAAAGTTATATTTTCTGCACTCATTGTCAAAAAAAAATTGCTGAAAATAACCCTCCAAAGGAAGTTAAAAAGAGAAAAATCAAAAAACAAACGAATAATAATAATAAGCTCAGCTGTTCTTTATACACTTAACACAAAACAGCTGAATCAGTCTCCTTCTTCTTCTTCTTGCTCTTCCTCTTAAGTTCTCTGATTAGTTTTTGTCTCAGAGAACTCATATATAAATATATATGTCTATATATATGTAAAAAGATGGTTCCAATCACTTGGATGCTTTAAAAAGCTGACTTCCAAGAGTAACAGTAGGAGTACCTTCACCCATTACTGTCGTTAAGCTCACTTCCTTGTCCAATATCCTCTCCAACTCTGTCACAACATGACTCATCGTTGGTCTCTTCTCACTTGAAACATCAACACATCTCAGTGTCAATGTAATAACCTCCTCCACTCCTTCTGCTGTGTATGTACCCCCTAGTCTCTCATCGATCATAGAGGGTATATCAGCGTAATCCGTTATCTTTTGCATCTGCAACTCCAATGGACACAAGTGAGGTTTCAATAATAGAGCTCATTGGCAACATTGTAAACCGGTTTAGAGTGTGATTACTGATTACATACCCATTCGACTAGAGTTTGTGTTGAGCTTGAAGGGGATGGTTCTGCTGCTTCTCTACCACATACTAGTTCCAAGAGGAATACACCAAAAGCATAGACATCACTTTTCTCTGAGAATCTTTTGAATTCTTGAACCCTGCACGAAAGAGAGAAAAAAAGCTAAGAACTTTGGATAGATACAGAGAAAAACAAACAAATGTTAGCTTCAAAGTTAGAAGAATCTGAAGTACTCTGGGGAGAGGAAGATCTGGTCAGCAGAGACGTGAGACGAAGTACCAACATCCTCTCTTCCTAAGAAGTTACGAACTCCTGCATCTGCAACCTTAGCAATGAAATTTTCATCCACAAGAACGTTAGCTGTCTTGAAGTCCTTGTGTATCAATCGAGGACTCAACGAGTGAAGATGTGCCAAGCCTAGAGATAACAATATACAAGATCAGGACACAAGACTTCTTGTTGTTCTACAGATGCTTCAGTGAGCTGATTTTACCTTTAGCAGCTCCTATAGATATTGCAAGCCTATTTCTGAATTCTAGCCTATTTCCAGGTACTTTACCACCAGCACCTAATGAGAAGAACAAGACCCCAAATGATGAGTACATTGTCTAAAACACACCTCCAAAAACTCTGTTATGATCAAACTGATTTAAGTGGATAGAATTAATTCTCTATCAAGGACAGAGAGTTACCGTACAGGTGACTGGAAACACTTCCATTAGGAACATACTCGTAGACAAGAAACTGCGTGTGGCTTTCTTGGCAATAACCCAAAAGAGTGACAAGATTACGGTGATGGATAGATGATAGATAACGAACCTGAAAAAAGACAAGAACCTTGTTAGGCCTCACTTAGTTCTAGATCAAAAGCACACATTTTGAACAAGGACTGTTGTTGTAAGAAGACCTCGTTAACGAATTCTTGAGTAGGCAAACCGGCTCTTTTCTTGATTGCCACAAGGACACCATCTTGAAGCAAACCTTTGTAAACCTCTCCGAATTTGCCAATACCAATAAGGCTTTTGTTGGTGAAACTCTTGGTGGCTTGAGCAAGTTCCTCCATTTCAAACCTTCTAGCTTCTCTCATTGACAGCTCAATTGCAACATTTCTTCCTTTTTTGATAAATATCATCCAATAAAGTCAAGAGAGAGAGAGAGAGGAAGTAATTGATTTTTTTGATGGGATTTATGATTTATGTACCTTGAGTTGATGGATCAGAAGAGCCAGTCTCAGAAGTTCTTGACAAATTCTTGCGACGAAAGATGCAAAACCACAGGAGAAAAGCCAACAGAGCAATGAATGCAAGAGCTCCTACAGCAGCTCCAATGGCTACTGCAAGACGTGTTGACATTTGTAAACAAAACAGCCTCTTCTCTCTCTTTCTCTCTATTTCTTTTCTCAGCGATGCTCCAAGCTACTACCATGCGATAACCCTGAAAGAAAAAATCAAACTAGAAGAATGTCGGCGAGAGTTTGACAGAGAAAGATTAAAACAAGAGGAAGAAGAAAAGACAAAAAAACTAAAAGCAAACATAGCTTGTGTGGATATACATACATACATCTTTTTTTCTGATGAGAGGTGAAAAAATTAAAATGGAAAAGGTGTCAACTTGTAAAAAAAAATTGAATAGGATTCTTCAAAAATCAATCAATCAACATGCAGTAAATAATGATTTCAGAAGAGGGAGAAGAAATTTCATTAAAAACCTTGACAGATCTCCAGAAAATCTCAACTTCATCGGCGAATAAATATCAGAATCGATGGCGTGATTCCCCACATTTTTCCCCCCAACAACATTCAATGAGAGTGGAGAAAATTCCTTAAATCAGCAGATTCAAGAATCAAAAATTGGGTTTTTATTTATTTTGTTTTTCAGAAAAAAAAAGAAAATGGAAAGTGAAGAAAACAAGAAGATTTGGTGTGAAAAGGGAAAGGGGATTTCAAGGCTTGAAACATCAAATCACAGCCGCAGTTTCTAGAACTCGAAGGTAAAGAGAAGAAGAAGTAGAAGAAGGAGGAGAAGAACAAGAAGAAGAAATCAAGTCTTGTGTCGGAACGCAGACAATGCCGACAGAAAGTGACATCGCGCAGACAACAACTCTCTTTCTCTCTCTCTCTTAAGACTGGAATTTACTTATTGAGAAACAACAACAACACCACCAACAAGAATCAAACTATTTACTAACTTTTCTTTTCAGTTCAAGAGATGACTTTGTAATTGACATTTACAGAGTTTTTACCAAACCCATTGTTTTAAAATTTGAGGGAAAGAGGAAAAAAAAGAGAACCTTTGAAGACAAGAGAGAAAGCAAGTGGGTCACTTCGCCAGTTTGCAGTTACAGCGAAAGGATTTTTTTTTTTTCTTTTTTAGAAAGAAAGAAGGAGAAGAATGAAGAAACTAAAACCACCGTGGAACGCAGTTTCCGCCGCCGCAAATCTAAAAGAGACGAACACACCACTCTGTCTCTGCCTTCTCCTCTTTTATTTACTCCGCAAATCTCTCTGTTTCTTTTTTTTCCTTTTTTCGCATGTTTTGTTTCCTTTAAATGGCATATGTTATTCCTCTTGTTAATAAATGAATTTGAATATTTACTTGAATGTTAAGTCAATAAAAAGAAAGTTTGCTTGAATGTCAGTAACTTTCTTTTCCTCCTAAAATTAATAAGCAACCAATAACAGATGTGAATTTATAACCTACATAATTCTAGAGTAATTTTTAGACTTTAATTTTCTCCAATTCAATTATCTAATTATATGGAATTATTGTGTTCTAACAAGATTTTTGAACAATGTCCGACTTTAGACTATGGAAATGGGTGTGGGCATATGGCAATAGTTTTGTCATTTGGAGTTAAGGGAAGAGCTTGTGACTTGTGAGACCGGCAGCCTGTGCAACTATATCCATGATTCGCCGTAATTTCTGCACGACTAGGAAGTTATGGAGGTCTCGAGAGTGAAGATGTAAAAGATCGGAAAATCTACTAATCTAGTGTGCCCTGACCCAACATATAATGTTATGGACAAGAAGATATAGTGTTGGGTCAGAAATGCTAAATTCTTCGATCTTTTCGAATAAGTATGTTCTTTTCAAAAAATGATATACCAAATTCAGTGTAAACAAAATAATTTTTGTGTGTGTAGTATTCATATGTGTTGTTGCTTTAGTATATAAGGGGTTTTTTAAAATTAGCTAGAAACCAAAAAAAAAAAAAAATTTGGACATAAACGAAATTAAATATTTAACCATGTTATTAATGACGAATAGATATCCAGCGAACAAATATTCTTTAGATAAAAAATTCAACAAACTCACTTTTACGAAATAAATAATTAGGAGTAGGACCACATTCTACATCGACAAAGTAAAAGGTGGGGTCAAAGGGACCCACAAGCCAGCTGTATAGACATTTGCTTCTACTCTTTATATACCCGTTAGTTACTGACGCCAACATTTCAACTCGCATTTCCACGATCTGCGTTTTGCGTTTCTCTATGCCATATCATTCTACGTTTAACGTTTGTCTTGACTTTTATAATTCCCACATTCAAAAAGAAACAAATTGAAATTTTGAAAAAAGACCAATGATTGAAGGTGAAGCGGCGGTCGTGGTCATCATGAATAAATCATACAAATTAGAAATTATTGAAAAGTGACTGAAAAAACTAATCAATCATAGTCTACACCAACCGCTTATCCATTTTTAAAGGCCCATTAAAGGTCCAATAAGCATAGTCTGTATTTCTCTTTTCTGTATGAGCCATATGGGCCATTCATACTACATGACTGACACTTGACACTTCTTGAGTTTTCTAGCCAATAAGTCGTCTGATGGTTTGTTTTGCTGTGTTACTTTGATTAATAGATTAAAAATACTGTTTAGATTTTTTTTAATGATATTATATGTACTAATACACACTTTATTTACAAAACACGTCACATCATAATATTTTGTCAAATAACTACTTCTTTTCAAAACTTATGATTTGTTTTTGTTTTATATATTATAATAATTTATCAAATCGTTAATAATATTGGTTCTTTAACATGATTTGAAAATCTCTACAAACTCTTAACTCCAACACATTAACAACCCTAAATATACGGCATGGGTAGTTTAGTTTTATGGTTACAATATACGATTGTAATATTTTGTAAAAATATTTTAGTCTGCTATTTTAATTTGTTTGCTTTTTGGTTAGACATAATTAATGTGCTTATCCTATTTTCATGTGCATGAGTGTTCATTATCCTAAAAAAATAGAAAGAAAAACGAATAGAAATCCGATAAATAATTGTTTCATACCCACACATTTTATAATCTGTTTACAAGCAAAAATAAAACTATACGTGGCAATTTCAAAATTCTCAATCTATTCAATTGATCAGATTTATTGAAATCAACTCCAACAGATTTAAAATACATCAGATTTTAAAACTTTTGGTTCATTTACAATGATTTATTATTCATTTCACAATCTATAGGCATATGAGTTATCTTTAGATTTTAAAAGCTGTGGCATTGTATTTACAAAGTCAACATGATTTGATTTAATATCTATAATAGAATTGAAGTCAATCAACAAATAAACATGAGTTTATATTAGAGGTTTTGATTGAATATGATGTTGATGAAGTTTTGATGAAATACGCATGGCATCGGAGAAATAGCGAGAAGAAATGGAGAAGTGGTGGAGAAGAAAAAGAGAATAAGGGATTAGGGTTAATAATATTGATTATTAAAAAATTTAATAATTATAACAAACTGATTACAAAATCTGAAGGTAAAAGGTTAGATTTTGATTACTATAATTTATACATGGAAGTGATTTCAAATCCAAACAAACTCTCTCACATCAAATCCATTGAACAAAGTCTAATAAATTTGAATAACACAAGACTTAAATTGATCTACTCAAATCCTTAATTGAATAACATTAGATTTCAAATTCTTTTAATTAAAAGATTCTAAATACATGAACCAATAACACTAGATTTTAAACTCTTTTAATGAAGGGATTCTAAATATATAAACCAATAACACCAGATTTTGTTAGAAGATTTTAAAACCATGAATGAATAACAATGGATTATAGTTAGATTTAAACTCTATTAAAAACCATAAACCAATAATACCCTCATAGCTGATGTTCTATACTCCCTTTATTTTATAATAAGTGTTATTTAAGCTTTAGTTTTGTGTTTCATTATAGGTGTCGTTTAACATTTCCAATTCATAATTTAGAAAATTAACAAGATAAATTATTTATTGTATTAACAAGAAAGTTAAATGAATTATTTTACTTCCTCAGTTCCTTAAAGATAATTTTTCTAATCTTTTCACACATATTAAGAAAACGTATAGATTTTGCAATTAAATAAATTTCTATAACTTTAAACCAATAAAAATCTAACAAATACAATTAATATTTCTTGAAACTGAAAAAATCCATCAAAAATTAGAAAATTTATATATATGGAATAACAAATAATGTCAAGGGAGTAATATTTTTATTATATCAAAAAATTCTATGTTTTCTTTTTCATTTTGATTATTAAAAAAACTTAAATAACAATTAATAAAAACTAAATTTGTAACTGAAAATAATTTTTGAATTATATGAAACATCTAATAATTTCAGAAACAAAAATAGTATTTTTTTTTTAAACGAAACATCTTTCTCACTTGCAAAGGATTTGGTGTTTCACACACGTTTTTTCTTCTTCTTTGCAAATAATCTGCCTCATTAAAACCGCTATGAAAAAAAACATGGTATTCCACAAATTTGTACGTTGTTCGTATAAATTCTAACAATTTATGGTTAGAACAATCTATGGAGATGTACGGTTCTTATGAAAATGGATGCAATTGTATAATATATATCAAACAAATTCATATTTTATTATAATATTTCTCTATATATTATAAAATTTAGACAATGGTTTAGCTCTTATAACTTATTTGTGTTTAAATCCATATTCCATGGTAGTACAAGTTGTGTTTAAGTCCATATTCCATGGTAGTACAAGCCATGGAGATTTATCATATGTATTTGAAAAGTATATTCCACCAATTTTAGCAACCCATATACGTAGTTGACCACATCGAGGAATAAGTGCTTCACCTCCTTTGTATACTTCAACGTCAAAACAAAACTCCATGTTAGGACCTTGTCTCAAAAGACACTTCCATTTTGTATAATTGAAAAATTCTTCATGAAATCTGATGAGAAAGGTATTGTTGAAGTTTAAATTTTGTACATGTAGATCTTCGGTTCTGGAACGACAATGATATTGGAGAACACGACCAGGTGCAAGATTGTTTTGAATTACTAATTCATTTTTTTTGCAA